CATGCAGAAGTTGATAGACTGGGGAGTAACAAGATGCTTTACCGAGCCTGCCATTGGGCAGGGAAATAGCGACAACAGTGGTGGTAGTGGTGGGTGTAGCGTTACTGGAGGGGACCCTTCCAGGGCTTAGGATCAGGCTCCTGTCTAACTTGGAAGTGCATTGTCTGAAGAGACACACGTGTTGACAAACCAAAGGGCTGTATTGAAGAGTGGTGTCTGAGCAGAGGGCAGGAAGGTGAGGGACCCCAGGAGCACTGCTCTGCCCGGTGGCTTGCAGGCTCAGGCTTTATGGAGGTGGGTTACTTTCTGGGTTGTCTCCGGCCAATCATCTTGTTTGTGTCTGTATCTGGTCTGACTCAGGGTCCTTCCTAGTTGGGTGTGCATCTCTCAGCCAAGATGGATTCCAGTGTGAGGATTTCTGGGAGGTTGGCAGGACATATTATGGGCTGGGCTCTCCTCTCTCCTCTTGACCCCTCCCAAATTCTTCTTGGTCCAAGGTTCCCTAACAATAGTGGTTTCTACTGTGTTCTTGCTGTGTAGGTGGCACCTTGCTAAATATTTGCATGATTTCCTCATTCCTTACCACCTCATCAAGTAGGCATGGCTTTGATCACCCCCATGGTATAGACAAGGTCACAGGACTCAGGGTAAGAGACCATGTTGGGACTCAGACTCAGGCCACTGGATTCTAGGATGCTTATTCTCAACCACAGTGCCTGTCTCTCATCTGAAAGGAACCAGGGATAGCCAACCACTAATGCCAAAGAAGCTGAAATTGAACAGTTCTATGAAGACCTACAAGACCTTCTAGAATTAACACCCAAAAAAAGATGTCCTTTTCATCATAGGGGCCTAGAATGCAAAAGTAGGAAGATACCTGGAGTAAAAGGCAAGTTTGGCCTTGTAGTACAAAATGTAGCAGGGCAAAAGCTAACAGAGTTTTGCTAAGAGAATGCACTGGTCATAGCAAACACCCACTTCCAGCAACATGAGACTACCCTACACATGGACATCACCAGATGATTAACACCAAAATCAGATTGAATATATTCTATGCAGCTGAAGATGGAGAAGCTCTATACAGTCAGCAAAAACAAGACCAGGAGCTGACTGTGGCTCAGATCATGAATTCCTTATATTCAAATTCAGACTTAAATTGAGGAAAGTAGGGAANGGCAGTTCACACTACTGCACAATTGCACTCATTTAACATGCTAGCAAAGTAATGCTCAAAATTCTCCAAGCCAGTCTTTAACAGTATGTGAACCAAGAGCTTCCAGATGGTCAAGCTGGATTTAGAAAAGGCAGAGGAACCAGAGGAATCCAACATCCGTTGGATCATAGAAAAAGCAAGAGAATTCAAGAAAAATATCTATTTCTGTTGCATTGACTATGTCAAAGCCTTTAACTGTGTGGATCACAATAAACTGGAAAATTCTGAAAGAGATGGGAATACCAGACCACCTTACCTGCCTCCTGAGAAATCTGTATGCAGGTCAAGAAGCAAAAGTTAGAACCAAACTTGGAACAGCAGACTGGTTCCAAACTGGGAAAGGAGTACGTCAAGGCTGTATATTGTTACCCTGCTTATTTAACTTATATGCAGAATACATCATGTGAAATGTTGGGCTAGATGAAGTACAAGCTGGAATCAAGATTGCCAGGAGAAATATCAATAACCTCATATGCAGATGACACCACTGTTTCAGCAGAAAGTGAAGAACTAAAGAGCCTCTTGATGAAAGTGAAAGAGGAGAGTGAAAAAGCTGACTTAAAACTTAACATTCAAAAAATGAAATCATGGCATCTGGTCCCATCACTTCATGACATATAGATGGGAAAACAATGGAAACAGTGAGAAACTATTTTCTTGGGCTCCAAAATCACTGCGGATGGTGACTGCAGCCATGAAATTAAAAGACGCTTGCTCCTTGGAAGAAAAGCTATCATAAACCTAGAGAGCATATTAAAAAGCAGAGATATTACTTTGCCTACAAAGGTCTGTATAGTCAAAGCTATTTCCAGCTGAAGTAGCTCAGCTGGAATTCCATCACCTCCACTAGCTTTGTAGTCATGTATAGATGTGATAGCTGGACCGTAAAGAAGAACTGATACTTTTGAACTGTGGTCTTGGAGAAGACTCTTGGGAGTCCCTTCAACTGCAAGGAGATCAAACCAGTGAATCCTAAAGGAAATCAACCCTGAATATTTATGCTGAAGTTGAAGCTCCAATACTTTGACCACCTGATTCGAAGAGCTAACTCATTAGAAAAGACCCTGATGCTGGGAAAGATTGAAGGGGATGACAGAGAATGAGATAGTTGGGTGGCATCACTGACTCCATGGACATGAGTTTGAGCAAGCTCCAGGAGATGGTGATGGACAGGGAATTCTGGGTTGCTGCAGGCCATGGCGTCACAAAGAGTCAGACACGACTGAACAATGACAACAAGGGATGGGGTAAAGGGGACACTGCAAGCATGGTTTAATTTAATCTTTTTATCTACAAACCCCTTACTTGCAGAGTTAGGAACTGATCCCAGGAGTTGGGCCAGAACATTTGTGTTTAGTGAAAGAAATGAGGTTTTAAAATTATCCCTTTAAAAATAATTGCTTGCAGTCATCCTCCTGGGGTGAATGCAGTCATCTGGGGTGTGAATGGGTAGGATAAACTTGGAAAGTTTGTTGTGGGGGCATGGTTTCACTGATGAATTTGAACACATGAAGCCTCTATTAAAATTGAAATATTAACAAGAATGGTTCTCAAACTTTGCCTAAAAATAACCCATTATGTTTCCCATTAAAATGCAGATTTCCAAGTCCTACCCCCAGTGTTGATTCAGCGGGCCAAAGGGTGGCCTTCAGAGATCTTCATTTTTTTTTTTTTTTACTGTTACATCATTATCATTATTAATTTTTATTGAAATATACTTGATTTACAATGTTTCAGGTGTATAGCAAAGTCATTTATTTAAGCATATTTTTGTTTTCAAATTCTTTTTCCATTTTATGTTATTATAAGATATTGAATATAGTCCCCTGTGCTATGCAGTAGATTGTGTTGTTTATTTCATACATAGTAGTGTGTCTCTGTTAATCTCAAATTCCCAATTTAGCCCTTCCCAACCCATTCCCCTTTTGGTAATCATAAGTTTGTTTTCTGGGTCTGTGAGTCTAGCAGAAATCTGCATTTTTGAAATGGCACCCAGATTGATATTTTTTGCAAGTGTTCTTCTAACCACACTTTAGAAATGTTGGCTAGGAAAAGAAGATTGCAGAGGGAAAAACAATGGGATTATAAAAAGAACTGGGTCCCAAAAAGTCAAGAAAGGAGAGAAAAATACTCAGAACAGGTAGGAAAATAGAAAGCACAGAAGATGGTAAAATTAAATCAGAATACATAAATGACTATATTAAATGCAAACAGACAAAATGCACTATATACTATTTAGAGAGACAGTATAAAGTGTAAGTTGAAAGTAAAAGAATGGAAAAAGATGTCCCTGTGGATACTTTAAAAAAAATCTGTGACTATATTATGAGGCATGAGTCAAAACTGACTTTAAAGAAAGTGGAGATAAGGCTATTTACAGCAATTGTCTCCATATGGAGGGGAATCAGAGGCACAGATCAGGGAGGGGATGGTCATAGACTGAGTCCAGAGCAGAAACAAACAGGGTGATGACCTAAATTTTCCTGCTGCAAGGAAATTTCCCCCTAAACGTCTGTTCAGGGCTTGTACCTGCAGGTGGCTTGGTGGTGGCGCTTCTCCTGGGTGGGCCTTCTCCACTGGCAGCCGCAGCTGTGGTCAAGGATGTTAGATGTAGTATTGCTCGGAATTGAAGGGGAAGCCACACGTTGGGTACAGTGGCCTCAAAGACTGTGTGTTGCCTGGTGGACTGGGCGGTAGAAGTAGGGTGGGGAAAGGTATCAGAGCTGGGAGCCCGCTTGGTTCAGCTGAGCGGAACGGTGAGTTTGGTTAAACAGAGCATATCTGCAGGGGGACTTTGAGCCCCCAACCGTAACGCAGCCTACGGGACTGGGAGTGGACGAAGTAGCAACAGCCGTGGTGTTGGCTTTCAAGGCGCCTACAGTCTAGACAAGGCGCTGTCTATGTTCTATCCAAAAGAAATAGTTTGAAAATTGATCAAATGTGGAGGGCTTACCTGGCAGCTTCTGAGCAACTGCCGTTTTGGCTGTGGCCCCTTCCAACCTGGGCCGAGAGGGCTGATGATGCCTGTGTGAGATTAGTGGTATGATAATAGTTTTCAGGTGACAGAAGTTACCATGCTCTCGCTTCTTATCTAAAGCAGCATCCTTGACTACATATTCGTCATCCTTTCTCTTACCCGCTTTGATTTTCTTTTCAGCACTGGTTACCTGCTGCTGTTCTCATACATACCTTAGGATCTGTCATTTCCTCCAGAGCGTAAGAGCTTTGTTTTCTTGGCTCTCTCCCTAGTGCCTAGGACAGTGCCTGCACTGTGAAGGGAAGAACGGCTTTGAGCATTGAATTGTGCTGGATACTGTGCTCAGCATTTCATCCACGTGATCTCATTTTATCCCAACAGCTATTTTTTTTGAAATTTATTTTTTAGTTTGTATTTTTCTGGCTGCACTAGGTCTCATTGCTGTGCATGAGCTTTCTCTCGTTGCGGCGTGTGGGCTCAGTAGTTAGGGCTCTAGATCTCAGGCTCGGTGGTTGTGGCCCACGGGCTTTAGCTGCCCCTTGGAAATGCGGCATCTTCCGGGACCGGGGATTGAACCTTTGTTCCCTGCATTGGCAGGCAGATTCTTAACCATTGGATGACCAGGGAAGTGCTTCCCCAGCAACTTTTGAGGTAGGTGTCATCACGTTTCACAAATGAGGCAATGTGAGTGCAGTGAGGTTGAGAAAATGACCCCAGAATCGTACAGTCTGTTGAGTGGCCGAGCCCGGATTTGAATTTGGCTCCGTATGAAACTCTAACTGCTCCCTTCTCTCTGCCCTCCCGCTGCAGGGTCTGGGGACATGGCCAGCAGGGTGCTCAAGCTCGCTTCGTGGACCGGCGTGGCTCTCGCCGCCTCTGGCGTCTGCCTCTACAGCAACAAGTGCTTGGACCCCAACGACTTCGGTGCTGTCAGGGTGGGCCGAGCAGTGGCCACGGTAGGTTCTCCTCCTTTCGGGAGGGGCAGAGGAGCCGCGGCGCTGCTTGCCGCTGTCCATGCACACGGCCGACGGACTCGCCAGTCACACTGTGCGGCGATGCGCGTGTACCGTGACCTGTGTGAAGACGCTCTCGCTACACAGTTGCACTGTCGTGGAGGTGCCCCCCACGTCCCTGTGCTCGCAACCTCTGCCATCCTGAAGTTAAACATAGAGTGGGATTGCCTGGGGTCTCTGTTCTGAACACGTTACCGCTCCAGAACCTTCCGTATCTTATTTTAGGGGCCGACTCATCCGGCGGTCTCCTTAGCAAACTCACAGGGAAAGAGGCGTTTGCAGCTTTGATTAAATCCTAGCTGAAAACTTGGTCTGCCTCCAGTGAGCTCCTGGGAACTGTTCATGACAGACGCAGGGCTCACACTCAGAGTGTCGGGGCCTGGAAGAACTTTGGGGATGTGCCCCAAGCCCCAGACTCAGAGAAGCTGAGCTGAATACTTGACTGTTGGATGGCTCAGCGACATCGTTCTGGCGTGACGGCGCCCTCTGTACCTCTGCGGAAGGCGACTCCTCCAGACAGCGCTGTGTAATTGCCACGGGCTTCACGCCTTCTTTCCTCCTCGGTCTGCCGCAGGATGAGCTCGCGCATTTCTCCCCGTGGTGTAGATACATACTCCGAAGCACAGTCTGTCTGGGCTCTTGTCTAATTGTTTCTTTTATTTTATTTATTTATTTATTTATTTTTAATTCATTCTGAGCTCAGATTAAGTGTAGAAACCTTCATAGTTATAAAGGTCTGTAGTAAAAACTTTTCATCATTGCTCAGAATGGATCAGTTTTTCTTACACACACACTCCTAGCCAGCTCTCACCCACCCATCAGTTAAGTCCTCAGTTATCTACTGTCACTTTCATAAATACGCACGCGTGCGCGCACACACACGCACACACACACACACACACACCCCTTATTTTAAATTGCCCTTTGCTTCTCAGAACTATAGAGATCATGCATCAGGTAGACTAAGGGGTCTTTCCTGATGCTCAGATTAGGCTATTTTCATCATTGATCCACTTCAGGAAGAGCAGATCTCAGAGAATAATAGTTTCTTTTAATACTCAGCGTTGTCCTGTCTTCTCTCCAGCCTGGCTCAGACATGGGGCCTGTGCCTCAAGGTAAACTGGAACCTATCATAGCTCACGATGAGCGAATAGATACACAGGCCATGGAATATGTAATGATTCCCACGTGCTTGATAGGGGCACTTTCTGAGCCCAATATTGTCATATAGGCTTCAGGGGTAGAAACGAACTGTCCCACCCAGGTGCAGCTTTGAAAGAGCTTCTGACTGAGGAGTGTCCATGTGGATAGGTCAGAAAAATAGTCTAAAGCCCGGGATTGTGTCAAGCTGCGCCACTCGGGTGACGGCTGCTGTGGGACCTCAGACACAGGAGTGAATCCTGTGGGCTGGGAGTCAGGATGCGTGTCTTAGGGGGAGCGGGGTTGGGTGGAACCTTAGGGATTTGCAGAGTCCGAGAGGAGGGACGAAGGCATAAGTCAGTGCTATATAAGCCAGCCACTGGGTTGCGCATTCTTTTCTTCTTTAAATAAGTGCTTTATTTGGGGATCATTCTAGGTTTATAGAAAAGTTGGAAAGATAGTACAGAGTGCCCATATGCCCTTCATCCAGTTTCCCCTAATATTAAAATCTTACGTGACCATGATACATTTATGAAAACTAAGAAAGTAACATTGGTACATTGCTATTTGCTGAACTCCAGGTTCTATTCAGATTTGGTCACTTTTATTCCGTTTCCGTTTCTGGATCTACTCCAGGATATCACATTGCATTTAGGGCACTGGATTTTTATTTTTATTTGGCTTAGTTTCTTTTTTTTTTTTCTTTTGAAATTTTTATTGAGGTTATTGTAGATTCACTGGGCTGTATATTCTTTAAAGATCTGGGCTCTGGTCTTTTTTTTTTTTTTTTTGAGGGGAAGTGATATTTAAAAAATTCTCTTATTGAAATATGATTGCTGTATGATATTCTATAAGTTACAGGTGCACAATATCATGATTCACAGGTTTTAAAGGCTATGCTTCATTTATAGTTATTTAAAAATACTGGCTATATTCCTCATGTTGTATAATATATCTTTGTGGCTGATTTTATACCTAATAGTTTGTACCTGTTAATCCCCTTCCCCAATTCTGCCCTTCCCTATTTCCCTCTGCCCATTGCTATTGTTAGTCACCAAGTCGTGTCCGACTCTTTGCAATCCCGTGGACTGCAGCACACCAGGCTTCCCTGCCCTTCACTGTCTCCTGGAGTTTGCTCAACCTCATGTCCGTTGAATTGGGGATGCCATCCAACTATCTCATCCTCTGTTGCCCCCTTCTCCTCCTGCCCTTAATCTTTCCCACATTAGGAAATCAACTTTTCCAATGAGTTGGCTCTTTGCATCAGGTGGCCAAAGTATTGGAGCTCAGCATGAGTCCTTCCAGTGAATATTAAGGACTGATTTCCTTTAGATTGACTGGTTTGATTTCCTTGCTTTCCAAAGGACTCTCAAATGTCTTCTCCAACACCACAGTTCAAAAGCATTAATTCTTTGGTGCTCAGCCTTCTTTTCTGTATTTTCACATCTGTCCATGACTACTGGGAAAACCATAGCTTTGACTAGATGGATCTTTGTCGGCAAAGTAATGTGTCTCTGCTTTTTAATATGCTGTCTAGGTTGGTCATAGCTTTTCTTCCAAGGAGGAAGCGTCTTTTAATTTCATGGCTGCAGTCACCGTCTGCAGTGATTTTGGAGCCCAAGAAAATAAAATCCTGGGCAACAAAAAAATTGCATCCATTTTTTCCCCTTCTATTTGCCATGAAGTGGTGGGATCGGATATCATGATCTTCTATTTTTGAATGTTGAGTTTTAAGCCAACTTTTTCACTCTCCTCTTTGACCCTCATCAAGAGGCTCTTTATTTCCTCTTCACTTTCTGCCATTAGAGTGGTATTGTCTGCATATCTGAGGTTGTTATTCTCCTTTCACTCTTGATTCAGTTTGGGATTCATCCAGCCCAGCATTTCACATGATGTGCTCTGCATAGCAGTTAAATAAATAGGGTGACAATATACAGCCTTGACATACTCCTTTCCCAGTTTTGAACCAATCCATTGTTCCATGTCTGGTTCTAACTGTTGCCTCTTGACCTGCATACAGGGTTCTCAGGAGACAATAAGGTGGTCTGGTATTCCATCTCTTTAAGAATTTTCCACAGTTTGTTGTGACCCACACAGTCAAAGGCTTTAGCATAGTCAGTGAAACAGAAATAGATGTTTTTCTGAAATTACCTTGCTTTCTCTATGATCCAATGGATGTTGGCAATTTGACCTCTGGTTCCTCTACCTTTTTAAAATCCAGCTTGTATATCTGGAAGTTCTCTGTTGGTGTACTGCTGAAGTCTAGCTTGAAGGATTTTGAGCATTACTGTGTGAGTATGTGAAATGAGAGCAATTGTACAGTAGTTTGGACAATTCTTTGGCATTGCTGTTCTTTGGGATTGAAATAAAAACTGAGCTTTTCCAGTCCTGTGGCCACTGCTGAGTTTTCCAAATTTTCTGGCATATTGAGTGCATCACTTTGACAGCATCATCTTTTAGTATTTGAAATAGCTCAGTTGGAATTCTGTCACCTCCACTAGCTTTGTTCATAGTAATGCTTCTGAAGGCCCACTTGATTTCACACTCTAGTATGTCTGGCTCTAGGTGAGTGACCACACCATCAAGTTTGTTCTCTATATCTGTGAGTCTGCCTCTTTTTTTATATTCTCTGGCTTGTTGTATTTTTTAGAGTCCATATTTAAGTGATATCATTCAGTATTTGTCTTTCTCTGTCTGACATTTCACTGAGCGTAATGCAGGGCTCTGGTCTTAATTATCCCTGTGGACTGCTCAGGCCAGGTCTTGCTAGTGGTTGGTATTCAATAAGTATATATGGAATGGAATGAAACATTAGCAGTATAGACAAAGGAATGGACTCTTCTCAATACCAGCCTTGTTAAGGCCCTTAATTTCTAAGGGCCGCAGTTGCTGAATTCTAAAAGGGAGGGTTTGGGCTCAGCAACCCTCAAGGCTCCTCTGTGCCTCAGATCCCTGGGAGCCTATAACTTTCTGATTCATCAAACATAGGGGAACCTCTTCTGGATTTTTGACCAAGGGACCTAGATTTAAAACTTATGCTGTTAGAGCAAACATAAATATGAAATGGTGTTTATTTGTGATACGGAGAGGTAGGATAAGTTTATCCAACAGCATTCATCTAACTAGTATTTGTTGAGCATTCACCTGTGCGCTTGGCACTGTGAAAGATGCAAGGGATATGATGATAAATAGGAAGGACATGCCCTTGTGCTTTCAGAGCTTAATTTCTAGCGAAGTGGAGACTGTCCATATACAAGGAAACAAATGAGCAAGGTAACTTTGGATGGTGGTTTGTCATGATAAATAATTGGGAGTTCCCAGTGGGTGGGGGTCTCTTTAGATTGAGGGTCTCTGCAGGGATGGTATTTGTGCAGAGCCTTGGCTGACAGGGAGAAAACAGCCAGACCAGAATCTGGGGGCAGGGCCTCTAAGAGATGGGATTGCTTCTCTGGACATGCCACCTGTGTCAGGGGCCTGTAGATGCGGGCCTTGGATAGCAGAGTAATATTTGATGTCTGGTGCTAAGCCTTCCTCTTTCTTGGTTCACAGACAGCTGTGATCAGTTACGACTATCTTACATCCCTGAGGAGTGTCCCCTATGGCTCAGAGGAATACTTGCAGCTTCAATCCAAGGTAAGGAGCCGTGGGACCCATCTGAGCCGGGCCATTGCAAAGCCAGCAAGCTTCTGGTGTGCAGCTGGAGGTGGGCAGGGGACAGGGTGGGGATTGAGGCAGGTGGCTTGGGAAGAAGGAGGGGAGCTATATTAATGCCCAGGGGTTGGGCTGCCAGGCTGCCGTGAAGCTGGACCCCCCTGGTTCTAAGGTTATAAATCTAAAAGGTGCTGTTGGGGAGGCTGGTGTGTGTTCCCGGGGAATGCAAGTGTCCGAGATGACTCAGGAAGGCAGAAGGCAAGCTGTCCCTGATAACTCAGCTGGCTTCCAAACTGCCTCGTCAGGCAAAACCCAATGGGAAGAGGTTAATTGCCTTCCCGTCCTCTGAAGACTGCCCCTGCTCTAGGCCTCTGAGTGGCGCTGTCGACCATACACTCTGTTCTCATTTGGAAGACTGTAGTTGGTTTTGGTGCTCTTCCTAAGTGTCCCAGAGAGTTGGGGGATTAAGCAAGGGGGTACTTGTGTGCGATGTAAGTTGAGTCTGGGGTCAAGTATAGATAGCTTTGGGCTTCCCAGGTGGTGCAGTGGTAAAGAATCCTCCTACCAATGTAGGAGACACAAGAGATGCAGGTTTGATCCCTAGGTGGGAAGATCTCCTGGAGGAGGAAATGACAACCCACTCCAGCATTCTTGCCTGGAGAATCCCATAGAGGAGGAGTCTAGTGGACTAGAGTCTAGAGAGTTGCGGGGTCATATGACTGAGCGATTGACATGATAGATACCTTTGGTTCTTCCAGAGAGAGGTGTGTGATAGAGAGAGTTGTGTGATAGATCTGTGTATCTTTGCTCAGCCTGGAAGGCCCTCTGCCCCTTAGAAAATTCCTCATCATCCTTCAGGACTCAGCACAGACACCTTGCCTCTGTGACGCTTTCCTCCTCAGTCATCCTAGCCGGCTGGAATAATTACTTTTAAAATTTTTATTTAAAGTTTTCATTATGAAAATTTCACCCATCCACAAGGGTAGAGGAGTATGAACCCCTATGGAACTGTTATCCAGCTTCAGAAATTGTCAGCATTTTGCCAGTCTTGTTTTGTCTACTGTCCCCTTTATTCATTCCTTCATTTACTTTATTCATTTGTTACTATTTTTTGCTGAAATACTTAAAAGCAAATCTCCAGCATCATATTATTTGAAAAAAATTCAGTATCTGTCTGTAATAGATAAGGACCTTAAAAAACACCATAACTACAGGACCATGATCATTCAGTCGCTCAGTCTTGTCCGACTCTTTGCAACCCCATGGACTGCAGCATGCCAGGCCTCCCTGTCCATCACCAACTCCTGGAGGCTACTCGAACTCATGTCCATTGGGTTGATGATGCCATCCAAACATCTCATCCTCGGTCGTCCCCTTTTCTTTCTGCCTTCAATCTTTCCCAGCACCAGGATCTTTTCCAATGAGTCAGTTCTTCGCATCAGGTGGCCAAAGTATTGGAGCTTCAGCTTCAGCATCAGTCCTTCCAGTGAATATTCAGGAGTGATTTCCTTTAGGATGAACTGGTTGGATCTCCTTGCTGTCCAAGGCACTCTCAAGAGTCTTCTTCAAATGAACCACTGTTCATTTTGAACCATAGTTCAAAAGCATCGATTCTTCGGTGCTCAGCTTTCATCATACCTAACAAAATTGACGATAATTTCTTAATACCTCTAATAGCTGTCCATATTCAAATCTTCCTCGTTGTCCTCCAAAATTTCTTTTTCAAGTTGATTCAAACTTGTATCCACCCAAAGTGCATATATTACATTTGATTGCTGTTTTCTATATCTTTTCAAGTCTGTAATATTTTCCCTCTCTCTTTTTCTGAGAAGCTATTTGCTTGTTGAAGAAACCAGATCATTTATCCTGAGAAATTTCCCACATTCAGGATTTGGCTGATTGCATCCTCAAAGTGTCGTTCAATGGGAAGTAAATTCACTGGTGCACAGTTCAAAATATATAATATTTGAACATACAAAATGATCCTCCTCTCCCTGTTTCTCAAGTACACAGTTTTCCTGCCTGGAGGTGATCATTGCTTCCTGGATATTTTTCCAGAGGTATCTTCCTATTTGGATTTAATCACTCTATCTTTGTTTCTACATACACGATAGGTGGTTATGTGTCTTTCTCTCTCTTTAGACCATAAATTCCTTTAGATCAGGGGCTGGTCTTTCTTTTTTTTGCAGCTTCTACTCCTATCCATGAGGCCTGAAACTGAGTTAACATCTGTTTCAACACCAGGCTGTAACCTGCTAGCTCCCTGCCTTGGGAGACGCCCCAGAAAGAATAAGGTTTGTAGTCAGAAGACCTGAGCGTGTGCTTTAAGAAGGTCATTCAACCTTTTGTAGTGCGGTGTTCCTTGTCTGTGGGCTACAGATGCCCTATGCCACTTACTGAGGATTATATAGATAGTGTCTGAGCCAGTTTTTTATAAATGTACATATAAAACAGGTATCAAAAATAAGTCAGATGTCTATTAGAAGGTATGTTCCATGAGGACAGAGAGTTGGTCTATGTTGTGTATCTTCACATCTGCGGCACCTGTTACAGTACCCGGGACAAAGCAGGTCCTAAATAATGGTTTGTTGAATGAACACATGAACGAATGGATGAAATGTTAGCTTTTACTGGAAGATCTTGAATTCCTTGTCTCTGAGACTCAACGCCACCTGCTTTCCCCTACCCCATTTTCTCCAACTAAACAGTGCTGTGGGCCTTGGAACCCACCAGAGCCACATTCTAGAGAGAAGTCTAGGCCATGGGGACAGGGGCAAGCCCTCCGCCTTGGGGAATCTGCAGAGTGGGCAGGGAAGTGGGCATCCTGAAGACAGTTGGCCTTCGGGTGTAAGTCATCTGGAAAGCATTGAGGCTGCAGGTCAAGGAGAAGCTGGGGGGATGCAATAAGGGATGTGCAGCCTGGCAGTGGATGAGAGATCAGCAGTGCGTGGTGGCTGGCACCGGATGACAGGGTGCAGGCTGGACCCCGGGCGGTGTACCTGGGAACAGGGAGCCGGGTGGCACGAAAGAGCACAACTAAATACTGCAGGAGTGTTTTCTTCCCTCAGAACACTTATCTGTTCTGGTCTGCGAGACTGATAGAGAAGTGAGTGAAGGGGAAGACAATTATCTCACCTGTCAAGCCAGCATCCCTGGGTCCCGGAGTGTGTGGGCACCAGATGAGCCTGGCTGGCAGTGACTTTGGAAAGCCCTTTCAAGGTTGGTGTTCAGTTGGCGGGCACCGTGGTGACTCAGCTCTGCGTCAGGAATGGGTGGGAGCCAGGGTGGAGGAGTGTCTTCTAGGGCACAGGGGCACTTTGCTAGGCAGTGAGGGCACAGGACGGGACCCAGATACCTTGGAGAACCAGGCCCCTGACGCCCAGAATGCTTATATACAGAGATGGTGGGTGTGAACTTCCTTGTGCATAAAGTACAAAGAGAGCTTCTCTGGTGGCGCAGTGGTAAAGAATCCGCCTGCCCATGCAAGCGACGTGGGGTTCGATCCCTGGGTCAGGAAGATCCCCTGGAGAAGGAAATGGCAGCCCACTCCAGTATTCTTGCCTGGGAGATCCCATAGATAGAGGAGCCTACAGTCCATGGGGTCCCAAAGAGTGGGACAGGACTTAGCAACTAAAACACCAACAGCAACAAAGCACAAAGAAGTCCCTGCTGGTCCAGACATCCAGACAGTGGGCTGGAGGAGGCAGCACTGACTTGATTCTGACCGAGGGGTCGGGGTGTAGTGGACAAATGTTAATTTTGCAGTGTGGGAATCATTCTCATTTTAGGTAGCAGCATCTAAATTTTCCTTTGGGGCACCACCCCTATCTCATATATACATGCTATGAGGTTTGAGTGGGGTTCACCCCACGCTCAGGGTGGACGTGTGACTTGGGTTGTCAGTGTAGTCCATTCCTCTGAGTATCCAAGCCAGTTCTGGTTGGTGAGCATCAGTCAGCTCTAGAGCTTTCGAGGCTGTCCCTCACGGGACACTGTCTTTTCTGCCGGATGAGTTAAGAGTGTCAGACGCTGGCTTAGAGCTGCTGGCAGCCATCTTGCCACCATGAGGTGAAGGCCCATCTGTGAATGGAATCAGTAGTGTAGAGAGATGTGTCATTTGAATCTCGAGATCTAGCTGAGCCTGATGCTAGAACCACTGGACTTTTCATTTATTTATGCCAGGAAATTCTCCTTTTGTTTCAGATGGATTGAGTTCAGTTTTCTGTTCCTTGTGGCCTAACGAGTCCTGATATATTCTTGGGGAAGCATACTGGATCTGTGTGTGTGTGTGTGTGTGTGTGTGTTTGAATTTGGAAGAGCAGGAGAGTGAGAGGGATTGGATGTGCCTTTTCCTTCCTTGATCAGAGTCCTAATTTCGGGAGGGGACCCTGATTGCTCTTGTGACTGAGAATCTTTTTAGCTGAATTCAATTTCTTGTTACGGAGCTAGTCACGGGGCTCCTGTGGTTTGCTTCCTGGGATACTTCAGGTCCTCAGTATGTGTGTATCATATTAATTACTGTAGTTGTTAATAAATATTTGAGCTTAGGAGGTAGCGATATAAATATTCTTTTCCTCTTGGCCTGAGAAGCAGAACCAAGGAGATGCAGGACTCTGCCAGGTGGAGAACAGAGATGTCAGCTTTATTACTGATTAATGTTGGGTTGGAGTAGGCGGGCTTCACCTCTGAATTTGATAGACTTACCTCCCCAGGTATAGATGAAGCAGGACAAGCCTCTCATGTAGGGTCCTGCCTCTTAGGACCGGGAGGGGCTGGTGGACACAGTTCCAGATCCCAAAAGGGAGGAGAGAGGAAGAGGTGAGCCAAACTAAGCAATCTGTTTGATGATTGCTCCTTCCACAGGGAGGGCGAGAGAGGGGAGAGAGAGGAGCCTTAAACCTCTAGAGGGGCTCCCTCCAAGTCCTGAAACTTGAGGACAGGCTGCTCTTACCCTCGAAAGGGGAGGTAGCTGTAAATTTGCT